TTTAAACTATAGTAGGTGGAAGCACTTGTTTTAAGTACATACCTACAAATTGTAATGATCATGATAAGAGAAATAAAAAAAATACAAAACAAACTACAAATCACAATATGTACGCAATTTGATAGGAAAACAAGTGCACCGCAGTGTCAACACAAATATTTGTTCGCTGTGCAGCAGACGGTACTAATCACGTTGAATTGCTGACTTAGCACGATTACCTGTTCAGCACAACAGTAGGTACATTTGAAGTACTCATTGTCGGGTAAAAGTGCTATTTTGCAACCCGTTTACGGAAATAAACATAATGTCACTATAGACCTTTATAGTTCGTAGTGAAGATGATTTTTCGACTCTGATCATTCATTATTTGGCCTCTAACTAGACTGGATTTAACTGAATGAAAATTTGAACAGAACAATTGCAATTAACTATACGCCTAGCATTGATAATAAGAACCTATTTATGTAAAGATAGTTTAAAACATTTTAGAAGTAACATTTTTAATATAGCATATCATAACATCACGCCTTTTATCCCTGAAAGGGTAGGCAGTGGTGCACATTATGCCACTGCACAATGTAACACCCAATTTTCACTATTTTTGTTATGAGTCCCATGTAATAGGGGATGAGCCTATTGCCAGCACACCGGTATTGAGCATACCGGGCACAATTCCAGACCCCGTGCTACTACTGAGATTTTTTTTAAAAACCCAGTCATACTTTGCCCGGGAATCGAACTTGAGACCCCTTGCGTGGCACGCGGCCAACGAGGTATTTTTAAGATAAAGTAATGTGAAAATGGAAAATATTGTTAACAAATCGGCCGTGAGACTCAGACCATAACTTTTAACGATTGACAAACCATCAATTCATTTTCATCGTATCTGTATGTATTTGCATTTAAATATTAAATGCCAAAGCATCACACGTCAAATTCATATTTTCGATGCTATTCATAAACTATAAAACCTTTTAAAAGGTATGCTCACTAAAATGTCTGCTGTATTTATAGTATTCCAGTTACAGTTGAACCAAACATATCACTTTATATTTATTTGAGAATGTTTTGATAAAATATTTCGAAATATTTATTACGATTAATAGTCGTCTGGTTATCTGATTCGTACCTTTTATTTTAATATTGCGATTTAACAATTGATTTAATTTAAAAAGTCAGTAAAAGCGTCTAATTAAACAAGCTCCTGCGTATTCATTAAATTATTTTAACGTTGAGTTGTACAGACAACTGAACGTACATAAATTTCATGACATTTATAATTATTTATCATTTCTATTTTCATTTGTAGTCCACATTTTAAGAGCTTAATATCATGAACTCACATCATTATTTCTTTGAAACATATCCAATGTGAAATTATTCAACACAACAGGACGAGAGAAACACTATCTATTGCTTTTATGAACCAGCATATTCATTATTTCAACAAAGTGCTTCTCATATCTAGTAATGTTTGAAAATCACACTGAAAGAATGCAACATATCATATTTTCCTAGATAACTATGAGATCCTTTTTACTTTAACACAAAGTATGTCAAAGTATTAAAGGCGACAAAACTGTTCTTATCTTCGGAAATATGATGTTGGCAAACTCTTTAGGATTACTGCAGCGAAAGTCGCGGCCCTCGACTCTGAAGTATTACGATCTCCGCCAACTTGTACGCGACGTGATTAAAAACTACTTGAACGTTAACCTCCTGCGGATTACTGGCCACCTCAACTTCTCCGACTATTTCAACAAAAGACAATCGAAGATTTGACTGAGTCCTGTAATTCGAATCACCCCTGAACGCGGTATTTATTATCCGATTGAAAGTTTCGTCCTTAGAGGTATGTACCTACTTATTTGATTCTCCAAATTCAAAGTATCACAAAGAGAAACGTAATATTTCCTGTCAAAAGTCTAAGAAACTTTTGTAAAAAGAAACAGTTCGTCACATAACTGAAACCATTTTGCTATTATAATTTGCTGAACAATCAAACTTCCGTCTCAATTAATTGTTATTGAACAATAAGATTACGTTTCTTGATAGGGAACTCTGTTGGTGAACAGAGATTATCCGATAATGAAGTGGAACCAGCTACAGGAGTAAAATCGGCGGACCTGCAGTAATTATTCAGCAACCGTCACAAGAACACCTATTGTTTCTCCCGATCCCACTTACCGCTGTGTTCCGCATTTCTGCTGCAAACTTTTGCTTATTGTTATGAGCACTCGGACTCATGAATTTCATTGTACCGTGTAAATATATACCAAGCAAACATTCCGTAAACTAAATAAAATAGTGTACAGAGCGTGTGCGACAGACGCACAATGCTCTGCCTAGTCTCACTATTCAACGCTTTGCGGACACCAGATACCAACGCGTGTCAACTTTGTAGATCCGTAATTTAAGATAGTGAATAGATGAAATGTAACTATATATTCCCTTTAATCTAGAACCTCCAGGCCTACATACGTCAGTAGCATCCCGTTTGATGCAGTATCAAAAGAGACAAGACTCAATCACTATAAAAGAGATCATTACACAAAGTATGCACTTCGCTAAGATAATGTTAAATAAAATATGTAACGGCACCACGCTAGAACTTGTTTTCAAACTTATACTTTGTAACTAAATTATTCACAATTTAATCAAAATTAATGCGTGGATTTTGTAAACTTAAATGCAAAAAATCTTAGTAAATGAAGTTTAGGGGTTAGCTAGTTATTTTGACAAAATTCCCACGTCCCGTGAGTTTATCTTTGTTTGTAATGATATGATAATTTTCTGACGGAACCCCAATCCGCGTTGTCATCATTAACGTAAATATTATAACATAAAAATCTGATAAACTATAATTGACACGAAGTAGCAGATAAAATTGGTCCAAAATAGCTTTTAGAGTTCTTTTATATCTAATAGCAGTTGACCGATTGTATTATCTCTGTTTGCTATTTGCACTTAAAAGCATAAATAACGCGTCATTAATAGAATGTGCGTAACCTTTTTGGCAAATTCTGAATACATTTTTTGTATATATTTCTTTCATTCCTTTGGGAATAAAGTTATAAGTTCAAATGTGTAGGATCGCACATCAATAAGTAAATTATGATACCCTGAGGTAAAATTAACAGTTCTATCCTTATCATTCTTAATCTACGGAACATAAAACAACGAGAATGAGAAAATTGTATCCCAATGTTCAATACAACAAATACCTACCGAAATCAAAGTTCAAAGGCTTATAATCTGACAAAGTACGTATTGTGTAATGTCATATACCTTTGTTATCTTTAATTTGTAATAATATCATTTTAACTGTATAAATACTATTTTATGAAACAAGGGAATCTCCAGATAACATGTAGATATGAGTAATAGGTAATACACATCATTGCTTTTTGCAATCTCATGAGACTAAATATAAATATCATCATTTATCTTGTCAATACTTAATTATAAATAGTTTATCATGCCGGGATTATTTAAACCATTATTATCGGAATAATTTTATTGCAGACAAATACGCAACAGAGTCGTAATTAACAGTTTTTAGTGAACAAAAGATATAAAATAGAGAACAAAATTAACTATTTTTTTTATCTATGGTTAGCTAGTCAAGCTCGTAGGTACAGTTAACAAAAAAAAAGTCTTCAGAATTGTTCGTACGTCGACATGCTATATCGCACATTATTATATGAATTTCTTTAATTACAGCGCTTCGTGCTTCAACAAGAAGCCGGAAAATGTGTCTCCAAAGATCTCTCCGGATCGTTCCGTCGCAAGACTGTCCGCACATTCCCCTTTCCCTCATTCGCCGCAATATTTTTCAATTCGTCGGTTTATTTAGCCGTTTAATTTTTACTCGGCTCGGGTTCACTTAAATTGCGCTGTGATTTAAATGTAATTTCTTAATTTATTGCGCCGGGGAACATAAAACAATTAAGCTTCGACGACACCGAGAAAAGTGGTGTTATTTTTCGAACTCTTTCAATTACGACACAGATTTATTTAATTGTTTTAAATTGAGCGATGTACTTTGATAGCTACCAGTAGGTACTGTTCATTTGTTTTAAATTGCACAACAGCATAATTCCAAAAATTGCATAACAATTAAAATTATTATTACTACCTACTAAAAATACAGAATATGCGAATATTTAAACTGAATCCATTTTGACAATCTCATCACATTTTCTGTTGTTATCAACTAAAAATTTGCTGTTAAATAGGAAACTAGATTGCGGAGTTTCTGTTAACAATCCGTCGGAACAATTTTTACAACATGTCTGTTTAATTCGTTGGATAAAGCATATAACGAGGTAACTTGTTGGAAATTTTCTAACATCCAAGCACACGTTTTCGGCTCGTTATATTGTCATAGGTATATATACGTTATATGATACCTAACTATGACAATAATTGTTGAACCCTCGTTTATCTTATCTCGTTTAGTATGATTTTAATCAAGTCGTACATTACATCATATATACTGTAATCTATTAATAAATATGTCCAAAATGCTTCACAGAGTCAACAACGTGTGTTTTGTATATTATTAACTCTACATGAGTCATGTTACAAGAACATTATACTAGCGGATATTATTACTTTTTGTTTATAAACTTTATTATCTTTGTATAACATGACATTTTTGTCTAAGTGATTTTATACTGCTTAGATATTTTTCAGATATTTTTATTCTTTGATATGAAACAAATTTATATTATTTTTACGGCTCTCAATTTACCTTTAAATACTATCCGATTACTTTTTGGGATATTTAAAATCATCTTCATTTATTTAAAGATTGCATGAATTTGAGCCTCTAAATTTTTTGTCCCTAATATAATTATGTTTCTGTTTAAAACGTGACTGAGTGATTTTTTTATTTTAATACCTGATATGTATTCTTATATAATATTTATTAGTAAAATTACAGTATCTTATAATGTTTAAATGACAATTAAAATAAAGTATAATAGTGCACTCACCTCCGACCGACAGAGTTGTCGCGCCGACGAAAACTTCGAAAGTAACTAAAAGTTCGCGGAAAATGTTTTGCTAAGGTAGAATTCACTTAAAAAACTTAGTCACAACTCACTGGAGGATGTCGTTGTTGGGAAATAAATATATTGAAGTTAAATGAGGTTGTTAAATTGAGAGTATATTATATGTTGTCCGTCGCCAAGTTCTCTGTTGGAACGTTTGGGCGCGCCAAAGTTGTGTGTCGATGGGCTCGGGCGGCGTGCTTATATCTCTCTGAAAGCGGAGCCTGCGCGCATGCGCGACTACCATTCATGTCACTCTCTCAATGACCGCCCCTACACACGTCATCATGTTAAATATTATAATTTTTATGTCATCCATACAAATCACCTGATTGTACTTTTTACTGTCTATTTAAATTATGTGAATCACTCTTGCACACTCAGTGTTACTTAATACGTCGGAAATAAACTCTTACGCCGTTTCAATTCAAGGGTAGGTTAGACGTTACTGTGAAATTATCTTTTGAAATCTAAAGTAGGTAAACGATTTTATTTGTTCAAAAAATGTGTAAATACGTAAGAAAATATACTGAGTCATAAAAACACCTTGATGTAGATTAGTACCTTTTGAAATTTCTTTTCTACGCTGAAAGTAGGTACATGATCTGTAAGTACACGTATAGTCCTAAGATAATTGACATGTTTAGTACATTCAAGCAAATTAGCATGATATCGGATTAGCAGGTGTAATTCAATTGTAATACTAGCTGCCACAACCCACTTGGTCCGTCGCACGTACGCTGTGCTTTAATATAAATCATTGTAGGTTATATAATTTCATCAATGTGGGCAGTGTAAGTAATGGGACTATTTACATCGTCTGATGTGCGTGCGTTGTGTTTCACCGTGTAGATGAGGTTACCGCAATTCTCAAATCCCCAAAAGTTATGACTCCTCTGATGTTTCGTTATCCATGAGTGGCGGTTGCTGACTATCAGGTTTTTTTTCTGTTTTTTACGCATAAGCCGGCAAACGAGCAGACGGATCACCTGATGGTAAGCAATCCGCGTCACCCATGGACACCTGCAACACCAGAGGCGTTACAAGTGCGTTACCGGCCTTTTGGAGATTAGGAGTTTGAGAATCGTTGGGGATTCAGGGATTGGGGAAGGGGAGGGGATAATTGGGCCTCCGGTAACCTCACTCACACGACGAAACACGAAACGAAACACGTTTCGTCGTGAAAGCGAACTCTTGTCGAGCCGGCCCATTCGTGCCGAAGCGTGGCTCTCCCACACTTATGGTGCTTCTCGTTTGCCCGGGGGCAATCTATTAGTTCAGGAAGTGTTTGATTTGACATCTTCTTCTGCTTGCATTGGTTCTGAAATTATTTGATGATGCTGTAATAACACTAGACTCAACTTTCCTTTTTTCGATCTTTTTCTACCCTTCCAGTCAGAACCTCTATTATATTAATTCTATTAATTACCTCATTTTAATATTCTTAAAATTTTTGTAACAACAACTGGTGCTCTGTTGGAATGCTAAAAAAGTAGCCAGGAACTTATGTTTTTTGTATAACCTGCTCTATTTTCTAGTCAATAAACTTACTATATCGGGGCCCAATTAAGAGATGTGCTCAATATTGGTGGTTAATAGGAAATGGATCTTCCCGAAATAGTTTACCGCAAATGGCTAAGTTTGTGTTGGTCATTGCACTGACCTCTCGGTTTTGGTGGTTCGCTATTTTTGTGAAAGAGATAAGTAGATGTCAATTAGTAATGTTGTCAGATACAAGTGGCTACTTACAATAACCCCCAAATTCAGCCAATTACATTATTTTTCGCATTGACCCACTTATACCTACATATACCTACCAAAACATTTCAAATAAATTAAATCCCTTATATTGCAGATGGAAAACAGCGTTGCGCTTGCGACTATCGGTGATGCATAGGTACCTACATATCATTCAATAAAAAATACTTTCTATAACTGAACTAATTAATAACTTTAATCTCTTATCACATCGTCCAGCTTACATCAAATTGAAATACGCAAAGTTTGCGAATTAGGTAACCGATGATTTGTCCCTGGATAGCTCAAATCAAAGGAGTTTGCTTCCAGACAGTCTGCGCTAACTTAATATGAATTAATGGTACAAATCCCAAGACCCGGTGAAGCTATCATAGGTCTGGTTAAAAACTAGACTTAAGTTTTGAGAATATTTCGATAATAATTTTGTTATTTATTATGTTGTAATGTAATTAATTTAATATACTCAATTCGTGCGTGCGTGTGTGTGTGTGACTGTGTGGTGCAGTTCAAACAAATCAAGTGCTGGTGATGGTACAAATCAAGTGATGTGTGTGTGTATAAGCTAATTAGAGCTAATTTTGGAAAATTATTGGTTAAAGTCAATAAATATAGCTCTCTTAAGAATGTTTGAATATCAAGCTCCAGGTGTGCTGCTGGTGGTCTTGAATAATAAAAGACTTCGGTATGATGAGAAGACTGTATTTAAATAGGTACTGATTGTTAGGGTCAACCGATATGTGCGCACGGCGTCGTGTCGGGCGAGCGAGCGAATGAATGACCGCCGATCGCAGCAGTCGCGGGCCACGTATGGTGGTAAGCCCGATGTGACGTCAGGAACAAGAACCTAGCAAATTACTGATTTAGATTAAGATTGTCTACTCTTAAGACGAAATTGATGTAGACAGGAAGCCATACAGAAAGTACAGAGTAGGGATACCCAAGTCAGTACAAAATAATTTAAACCATAAAGAACAAAAGTGCATTAAACAGCAAATATGTAGATATGAACATATTGAGCATCGATCACAAAGTTGTAAGTGAAGTCAAGCGGGTTCGTGATGCAGTAAGTAAGTATCTGAGTACGCGATAAAGGTGATTTATGCCACTTATGGACCGCTGGATAAAACTTAGTAAGCCTATACTTGTAAGACGGGGTTTGCTTAACTTCACATTCAAGGGTAATAACGAAACTTAGATAAATCATAGCTCAGTTGAGTTAATACAAGTTATTGTGGAACAAGTATGGAAATGTGGAGATACTTAACAAAGTTGGTACTCGTTTACCTTTATAAAATTGATGTAACTTTATGATCGGGCGTTTTACTTTATATCGGTTAGAGTTAGCGCTTTGAGGCATACATATGTAGGGGACTCCCACTCAATCAGCTGTTGTGTTCAAACTATCTGTGGACGCAAAACTTTTACTAAATAGGACTCGATAAGAGAATGTTCAATACTCCCTGAGTTTAATCAAAAGCAAAGGACTCTTGCTTAATCAACTCTTGCAAATAACATAACATCCCCAAATAACATGCCTTTTTCCCCGAAGGGGTAGGTAGAGGTGCACATTACGGCACTTAATGCCACTGTACAATGTAACACCCACTTTTCACTTTTTATGTTATGAGCCCCATGTAATAAGGGGTGAGCCCATTGCCATTTACCGTGCAAAATTCCAGACTCCGTGCTACTACTGATTTTATTTTAACTCGGTAATACTTTGCCCGACCCGGGAATCAAACCCAAAACCCCTTGTCCGGTACTAGAAGTACTCAGTCAGTGCGTTTCATGGACCGATGAGACTATTTCACTTATTAAAAAAATATATCTTATCATTCTTAAAAGTGTACAAAAAAAAAAAAAACTGCCGAACATAGTACCTCCTCCTTTTTTTTAAGTCGGTAAAAATCAAAATCATTTTTTACTTCAGTCTTACTTTAAAAATATACAACATTTAAATATTTTTTTTGTTTTCAACTGTTCGATATTCCCTTTTATCTGCTTTAAAGTCTAAAAAGTTTTAGATTTATGGGAACATTCCCAATGGCAATGGGGCAAAAGGTGGCGGAATGATATCGTTCCCTTACTTACCTGTCAAACTGACTCTGAACTTGAAAATTTCTTTACGAACTTTAAATTTGAATCTTTTAGAGATGTTTTCTTGATTTTTAAAACAATACATTTATATATTTTATATCGGGGACCTTCTAAAGGCCTTTTGGAGAATAAAATTTGAGAGATTGGACGCGATGTCACTAAAACCACTCTGGTGGCTACCATCAGCCCTTTTAAGTGACGCTGAGTTTTCTAGCGTGTCCCGAAGACCTTAAGATGCAACGCCTATTCTGACACTTCCTTAGAGAAACATAGGAACGTTAAATACGTTTCCTTGGAGAATACTTAACCTGTTCTTGGAATTACTTAAAACTTCAGTCACTAAATAATCGCTAATTATATAAAACCATTGGGTAAATCTTCAAAATAAAGCATAATTTCAGCTGAGACATAATTATTTATTTAATTTTCAAAAGGAAAACTGTTGAATCCCTAAAGAGAGCCTAACAAGCGTGAAGATTGCTTTAAACTAAGACATCAATGTATTTTCTCTGTATTCATAAAATTAAAACGGCACTAATTCCGACAGTACTTTGTCTCACTCTAACTTCGTGTGTTTGTTCAGGATGAAAGTGACAGAGGTATGTTTGTCGGTGCTGTTGAGCTCATTATAAATACCGGAGTTTAAGTTAACAGCTCCGTATACTGGGAAGACTCGCAAATGAAAACGTTCGTAAACGTAAACAATAAAATTACACCAGTTTTATTTAAGTTAATTATTTTGCTCGATAAGTAGAACCTACGTGTCTTTGCCTCAGCAAATTGTTTATGAAACGAAAGTTAAACTTTCTCCTAAAGCCGAATATAACTTTATATAATCCTTGATATCTCCCTTTCTCGGAAAATTTGTTTAACTAAAAAAGTATTGCTACCTAAAATTTGCTCCTAATAAAAAATATTAGACCAATGGATATTATGAAAATAAATAAATAAGAGAAGGGCTCACGTCAATATATGATTGATTGTTACCATCAACCCTAATATTAATGTACGGTCAAACAATCGCATTCGTTTATGTATTTATTTCGCAACAGATTCAATTAATCCTGACAGAAACCGGGCGTAAATCAGGAGCTCAACTCCGAAATATGGCTTCATTTGTCATCTCGACGTCATTCACTTGGAACTTGCATTTATTGTTAACAATTTTAATCTTATAATAAATACAAACCCAATCGCATAGGGCAACGTTTCAAAAAAATTATTAAATGCCATTGTGATACCATGTGACACTATTTCAGTGCATTTCAATGTTTTTAATCACTTTTAAACAAATTTCTCTAGATTCAACTGAAACTTTTAAACTGCGATCTGGAGAAGGTAGATTATGGTAAACCCCTCATACGAAGAGGATGCTCACAGGGTATTATGATGGTCTGATTCGTATGATAACGGTAATATAATGATCTAATGCTAAATGCTAATCTAACAGCTGGAAGAAGTCCACTGCTGGACAAAAGCCTCCCCTCTTAGTCCTGGCAATAAATACGATGTTTTAATACACTGTGTACTGTGTACAAAAGAGCATAGATACGATATGGTTGAAAAGAATTTCAAAAGATCGTGGATATTTGATGGATACTGAAGATATCTACTTCAACGGAGTCCGTCTATTTATATTTACATGTATCTTTTAATATTTTTCCTTATTGATAGGTACTCAAATAAAAGGTCCAATTCGTGGGAGTAATATGAAGGTATTTAGATAAAGATTCTCTGCTGTTTGGTTACTTCAAGTTCTTTTAGGTAAATTGATTGGCAAAATTGATATTATTGTAACTATAAAAGTACTATTTTTATCTTTGTATATTATGCTTAGCTAATAAATAAAAGTATTGTATGTGTGTCGTTTTAGATTTCTTAGTTATCGTTTTATTGGGCGCATCTTGAACACTATCCAGAAATAATTTAAAGTTGTAGACCATTTTTTTTTAAGTGGGGAAAATCATCGAATGACTGCTCCCGCCTGGGTGAGGCGGGAGGGAGTGTCAGACTCTTACTGACTAAAAACCACCCCGTTCCTTCTCCTGCACGTCGAGCCGGAGCCCCGGTTACCCGTTAGGTTCTCCGCGACTCCGAATCGGCATCGGCCCTATTGGGCCCCATCTGTGGTGGTCTGATGGCTCTTTGAGGCGCGCGCGGAACGCGACGCGCCGTACGCTCGGGAAGTTGTAGACCATAGCATGAATATTTGGACTTGGTCTGTATTTTTTTAGATTTCAAGCAAAACCATTTGGTTTTCAAAACTAAAGTAGTATAAGACACGTACAGCAAACTACAATGTATCTTACGTCAACGTCAGTTGAACCGAAAGTACTAGAGTACTTATGCGAATATTTCAAAATTTTCAACATTTACAAACGCTCTCAACTACATTGCATGACTCGTTTGCTCGTGAAAAACCGGTGAACAGTGCTTTCCATACAAAATAGTGGTTCCCTAGAAAGAAAACTAAAGGTCATTGCACCTTTTATACTCAGTTTAAACAGTGAGCAAGTCACGCGTGTTGTATCTATGTTTTAGTTAGTGTACGATACTGTTTACGTAGTTTTTATGCGGCTAGGCAAGATATCGATTGTCAATGTTGGCAATGACCCTTCAAGGCCTTTTTACCTATGTTACACCTACATACATTGCATAATGTATGATGGTAATCCTAACGTGGGTTAAACAGATTAGGCACAGAGTCATTTTTCTGCGTCGAACAGTCATCTATAGATGCTTAGATCCAGATCTAAGTCATCATACATCATCAGTGGATGCCCAATTACCCCTTCTCCAATCTTTCCAATCCCTGAATCCACAACAATCCCCAAACGGCTGATAACGCATTTGTAACGCCTCTGGTGTTCCGGGTATCAAAGGCCTTAGTACGAGTTTAATTTACGTTTAAAGTATTCGAAACGGGTACGCGTTCGGCATTCTGATTGGCCGGCGCCAATGAACCAACCAATCAGAGCGCCGAACGCGTACTCGTTACGATTACTTTATACGTAAAACAAACTCGTACTAAGGCCTCAGGTGATCCGTTGACTCGTCTACTGGCTTATCCCATAAAAATAATACAAAAATTCATTTTCGGAAGTACCTACTTATATTAGATATTTATTAATCAATGCGTTTGGATATACAATATCTATTTGGACGGATAACGGAAATGTCCCATCTGCTTTACTCATCCCGGGTTCACCCTTTCAACTGTAACCCTTGAGAAAACTAATTAAAGGTCCAATAGGCCACGGAGAACGTCTAACAGAAACCATTTATTCTAACAAAAAGACATTATTCTGCTAAATAACTGTAAATACATTTAAAATTATTAATTAAGTCGTTGATTTTTAAAATCTACATTATTACGATATAAACCTTTTCTCGTGGAATTACAAAAAAAAATGATTCATTGTTAATAATTCAGACTTCTCTACCAATAACACAAAATAAAAGTTCAGTTTCATAATATAGAGGTATGTATCTTTTTCAAAAGCCGAAAACTAGCAAAAACTAACACTCAACTCTTATTTGGAACGGTTTGGGTCCATTCTATCATTAGATACAACCGTTTGAAACACACTAGAAACATCACAGAACATATAAAGACATCCATCAACCTCTTCAATGATTCAACACAGAAAATTGTAGAGAGCACTGCAGTTTCACCTAAATTGATCGCAAATCCCGCATATACAACTCCCGAGTGTTTTTTGATTACCAATTAGGAACTGCACTCGTTCTGTGACCGGTACGATTCAATAGACTACTGTTTCGTGCAGTACCATATTTCTACAACACAAAATGTTCTATGCAAATATGTCTCCAGTGCATACCCGTTGCTGTTTTCCGAAACGTTATTACCAACCTGATTTGACTCCCCGATTCAAATACGAAATAAAGCCTGCTTAAACAACCCCCAAGCAAAGGAAACCATTCTGAACCTTATGCCAAACGCCATTAACTTTACAATTGGAAAATGATAACGTTTGGAACAGATTGTCGTTTTAATCTCGCGCTCATCTATAATTTAGACGCTTCCAAATTGAAATGTTAGGGAGATATCAATGAATCGGTTTATCTCAAATCTAGTTACATGACTCATTTGTGTATAAATCGGTTGTTGCGTAGCTACAATGAAAAATAAAATTCACAAGCAAAGCCACGTTTTTGTGTAGTTAAAATAAAAAGTAACACTTAACGTGTATAGGTACTAAATATTTCATGTGCACTGAATTGTTTACGAGGCGAACAGGACAGCAATTAATATTTTTATAGATGGCCGCCGTTCGGACGCGCGACGCGCGACGTCGGCTCATCAATATTAAACTTCCCTTTGGATTGATCTCCTTTATGTTTATCATTATCTACAGATAGCAATTAACGTTCTCGGAATTTTCCTTCATTTTTATACAGTAACATCACATTAACATTGACTTTTTTTAATTAAGCTATTAGCTTTTTGTACTCTTAAGTTCAACTAATGGCTTCATTTCAGTTTTTCTAAAACCTTGGTTTCAAACCAGTGTTTTTTTCTGAATCGTAGGCACTCATCAAAACCACCAATTTGTGAAACACTCAAATAATTTATTCATCATTAGGTATTGTATGGAAATCCAATCCATGGCGTTGCAAAGCGACTGTTTACCCAGTCATTACGCCAGTCTCAATAACTGGCCTAGACCCTCAAAATTTTGGTAAGCAATGTTTTAATTTCGTCATGTGATAGGTCCAGATGATTTTGACCTAAAAAACCTTGCAACAATAATTAAACAGATTCAGATTGCATTCTTCACCTTTTAAATCTTCCAATTTTCCCATGAGATCTAGATCTTAAATTCAGCTTCCACAGAAGCCACATGAAGATGTTCTTTCATGTCAACTGCGACATTCGTTCGTAGCCAAACGTTGGACATAAGAAAATGCAACTCTTTTCACGACCGAGCTTAAATTCCCAACCAATATCCTGTACAATGTCACATTCACGCATGTGCAACCTTCCAGAGGTTTCTATAAGCTCACTTTTTCCTGAATGTACCTGAAATCTCACTGAAATTTCGCTCGAAATGTTTCTCAAGGGAATTTGTAAATGTTACGTTGCTTAAAATTTTAATTCCTGTTATGTGTAGAGTAGATCAAGGACATTCAAAATAGTGTAGATAGATTTACTTTGAAATAGCATTGAGTAGTTTGGTTCGCAATTCATCCTCATTTGAGTTTACCCCACAAAACAGGTTGCATTAAAAAAATTAGATATTTTTTGCTTTACAGATTTTTAAATGTCACGTTGACAAATTAATATTTATAAAATAACATCACAAAAACCAAACAGTGAAATTAACACAAAAAATGAAATAAAATGTAACATTACACTATTTTGGAACTAACAGTAGTGCTCCAGCAAATAGACAACCGGCGGTATACGGCGGCGGCCTGCTTACGTAAATGAAAAATAATTCAAGACTTCTCCTATATGAAGGTACCTTACCATGCCCTAACCTACTGTGTATTTTTACTCCTATGTAATAAGTACCTAGTCCTTCTCTTATGAACCTTCGAATAAGACGATAGAAGAGTTTACAATAATTCAATATCTATTATTTTGGCCAAGGCAAACACAAAGATTACTATAATAATATACTAAAATAAGCCCGCAGGGCACCTTGAGGCGAGGTGACGACGGGCATTAGCGACCCCGCGGGCTATCATCATCCCGAGTGCTCCAGGGAGAAGTCACCGTTCCTTATTCTCCGGCTTGCCTTAATTGGCTGGCTGGAGTGAACGATGACAAGGAACAGGTCTCCCACCTCTGGCTTGCCTTCATTGGCCGTCCAGAGTGGAGTCGCGAGAGCAGTAATCCTGCTCGGAGGGTAAGAAACTATTCGTAAGTCGCGAGTGGGCACGGGATGCAGGAGGCTTCGGCTGGAGCAGACGATCTGAGTAGAAAGCGGTGGTAGTTTCTTAACCCTTCAGCCACTCACATTCTCGTTGCCCTTCTGTTGCTATATCTAGCAACCATTCCCGGGGCCCGGTCGGTGAGTTGGTGAGTCTCCGCCTGCCATTTTTACGTGTAAAAATTACATTGTTTCGGCAGGTGCCATAGTCATCCATAGTTCCCAATTTACCAGTCCACAGCAACCCATCCATAGCCCTACTTTTTTCCATTATTCACAATAGTCTTACACTAACCGGGGACTGTCCTTGGGTGCATTTCCATAGTGCATACAGGGATAGTCGCCGGTTTGTGTCTCCATTACATTTAGATTAAACTTGTCTAAAGGGCCTCTGCGCAGTTGGCTTCGGCCCCTCGTACGCCTCCCAAATGACCGGGACCCTGTGGTCTCGTGAATGGTAAAGACATACAATATACTAAAATAATAAGATTTTAAAATTTAACTACCTATTGTATTAAGTATATTATAATAATAAGCATATAGGTAAATTCAAATACGCTTCAGTGATCAAGGGTGTACAAATAAAATAAATACCGATTATTAAACCAGCGAATAACTATTTTCTCCAACCAAAATTAAATTCAAAATTGTACCTATTTAAATTAATAAATAATTGCGATATTAAGCCGCCTTTAGATGCGAAGAAAAGCGCTGAAGCTAGGCAATTTTCTTTTTTAATTCACAATGATTGACTAGGATTACGCGACGGCCATTTGTAATTCATGAAAAACGGCCCACGTAAAAAACAAGATCCCTTCTAGTTGAACGCATGGAAGTTTGTAATAATCTCACAATTAACAACAAGATTTGAAGGAGAAATTCTTTGTTAGAATCAGTGTTTCTGGATGTTTTCAAGGCACGAGTGAATAGGTTGCTTATGGGTAGGCTTGCTCCATCGTAGCCCGTATCATCGCTTATACCAAGCGAGATAGTGGCCATAAACAATGACACATTTCCAACAAAAAAAAAATATTTTTAATAATTCTTTTATAAATCCGTTTTAAACCCCGACTTCTTTCTACCCGTCCTTTTTGAAGTTGACTAAAACCAATCCTAATGTAACAAACACTTTTCCGAAAACCGCATCAAACTCAGTTCAGCCAATCGCGAGATTATAGCACAAACATTTATAAAGGTCAAACTTTTTTTATTTTTGAAATTAGTTTAAGATATGCTCATTGCTCCAACTTAATGAAAGTTGTCTGCATTACCATAAGTATGAAATTCTACCTCAGTAAGCTTGTTTGCTTTTATTATAGTTGTCATTGTATAGTCGAGAAAACCCTTATTTAACCGGTTTAGTGCTTGGATTAAAGTTAACGTATCTTTAAAAAATACATGACATCACGCCTTTTATCCCCCAAAGGGGTAGGCAAAAGTACACATTTCGGCACTTAATGCCATTGTACTAAGTAGTGGCTGAGTGGTCGCAAGTGCGACTGCCGGGCAAGGGGTTCCGGGTTCGATTCCCGGGTCGGACGAAGTACTACTGAGTTTTTAAAAAAATCTCAGATTCAGTGGTAGCAGGGAGTCTGGAATTGTGCCCGGTATATGGCAATAGGCTTACCCCTATTACATGGGACTCATAGCATAAATAGTGAAAAGTGGATGTTACATTGTACAGTGGCATTAAATGCCGTAATGTGTACCTCTGCCTACCCCTTCGGAGATAAAAAGCGTGATGTTATGTTATGTTAGATATTAATTACCTACTTATAACATAAAAACCTCCCCCATTCTTAATAAATAATTTGAAAATAATCACACCACATATTTCGCAGACAATGTTGTTAAGAGAAAACTAAATTATAAACTTCGTTCAAATAATATTTTGTATGCTAGAATAAACAAGGACAAAATAAGCCTTTCTTATAACAATTTAAATTCGTCGGTAAAACACCTTACGCCCTTAACCGTCACCTTATCTAAACCCTAAGTAACTACCTACGTATAAAATTACAACCGTTAGAATCAAAGGTATAATAAAATGGATTTCTTTTCATAACCAGCCATATAATTCGTCATAAATATAATGAAACAGTACGTATTAAAAAATTAACTCGGCGCGTAATGTTTTAATCTAGTCAGTCAATAGAGCGTGTCCCAATAAAACCGTGATGCGTGTCAATGTGCCAGAGACAAATTAACATTTTAATTGTGACCGCCATGTGCGCGAGCGACACGAGTTGTTTTGTCGCGACTACTCTCCGGAAAATCACTGTTAGCTGGTGACATCCAATCGTGCGTGTGACGTGCACTTAATGGGTTATTATAATTTTCGTCAGCCCACTATCAGATAGGGTAAATTGGACGCACGTCACTGCTGCCGCGTCCACCTAACCCTAGCTAAACTGACAACCCAATTTATAGTTCATTAATATTTTAATATCGATGTTAAACTTTGTTGTTGACTTAGATTCTGCAAATTATAAAACACACTAGCTATGTCCACCCGCGGATTCACTATAAATTAAAACATCTAAATCTTCCTCATGAATCACTTATCAATTATAAAGCACTAAGTTTTTGAGTGTGTTGCGTTCATACAGTCAGTCAGACGTGAAAAGAAACTTATTTTTGAAATATTTAGAGTCTATCTAACATTTTCCGAAAGCTTTCTAAGACAACGTGTCTGTTGCAAAATTGTGAAATTGTCTCATAATATACTTTGGAAGTGTGATCTCTGGCAATATGAACTGTGTTAGACACTTTATTGTTTCATCAGGTGTAGTTTATTACACCCTTTTTTGAGGGGGGAAAATCATCCAATGACTTCTCCCGCCCGAGTTAGGCGTGAGGGAGTGTCAAACCCTTACTGACTAAAAACCACCCCGTTCCTACTCCTACACTTCGAGAGTTTATTACACCATGTAATATGGAGTATTATGGTAATGGAGTAATATGGACATAACATAACATAACATAACATCACGCCTTTTATCCCCGAAGGGGTAGGCAGAGGTGCACACAGAAGTAACACCCACTTTTCAGTATTTATGTTATGAGTCCCATGTAATAGGGGGTGAGCCTATTGCCATATACTAGGCACATTTCCAGACTCCGTGCTACTACTGAGAATTAAAAAAAAAACAAGTAATACTTTACCCGACCCGGGAATCGAACCCGAGACCCCTTGCCCGGCAGTCGCACTCGCGACCACTCGGCCAACGAGGCAGTCAGTATGGACAGATGGATATTATATTATATGTACCTTGTCGAACCACAAAAGTCTACCTATTTAAATTAAATACACAAACGTTTTTCAGGACCTTCTTTCAAGACCGTCACAAACGCTATGTCGAACAAAGTTCGCGGCCGGAGCAACATACGAGTTACTCTAGATACCGCCGGCTTGTATAATTATAGCCAAAGCCACAGTTTGCTGGGGTACACCGCACTCACATTCATCATAGTGTTCCTTATATACCTGGCTACCAAGGACTGGAAAGGGTACACTAGCCCAGAGGAGGTGGATTTGGGCACAGTCCAAGTGCCGACTAACGCTGGCCGCCGAAAACAAGGACACTTACGCAGACAGGACTAAATAACAGATAAATACAACATCTCAAAATAAATAATTTCACTTGTTTTGTTGTTTAATTTAATAGTGCTTATTAATATGTAAATAGTCTTGTACCTACCTATGATATAGTGTTAGGCACAATTTTTGAACAATGATTAATTACTTAGTAGAAACCTGGGGTCTAAAAATATTAAGGGTTAAAAATGCAATCTAAGTGCTCTCAAAATAAGTAATTCAATAAAACCCAAAGATGCATTATATCTATTCTATTACTATATCTGCATCCATCTCCTTTAACTCTCGGCTGACGACACTTAAATCACCAAAACAAGCCTCTCCGAATCGCTGGACGCTAGTAGAAGCCAAACCAAACAGTTTCCCGTTCTGCAGCATCAAATCACCTGCACGAATTGGACATGCCGCCAGGTCCCTCACGCATATAGTATAATTTGACTTCAAATGCTGATTGGAATTTGTATCTACGTATTCTTTGCGAGCCAAAGACGCATGCTGTCGCGAGAAAGTTCTACCAACAGAGTGTGGTCGTCCGATAATGTGAACTTTTTGGGTCCAATCTAAATTGTTACCGATCTTTATCGTTTCTGAGCACCCCTGTATGCTTTCATAACTAGATAGGAGCACTAGCTTTTTCGAAAACACTCCAACATGATACATTGATTCAAAGAGGTCGATGGAAAAGCCTTTCTTGCAACGAGGACTGAAAAAGAATTAATGTTTAGTTGATCATCATACCTTTTACTCCTAATCTATGAAACAATAATGGTAATTTGTTTCATACTTTGACATGCTGCCTAAATATATTCGTATAGGTCCAGACTTAACACATACTCCATTTGCTAGAACTGAACTCTTGCTCACAACTGCACCGAGACATAACAACTGCTGCGTGCTCACGGAATGAATTCTTGCTACGAAACGGTAGTCATCCATTTTCACTCGAAAGCATGATAGTTCACTAAGATTTGAGTATTTCTTAATTTGCTCGAAACCTCGATAATGCATTATGAAACTATTTACAACCAGGGCCATTGTTGCTACAAATATAGCAATCAGCAGAATGACAATTCCAGATTTACTTTTATTCGAGCGATCATCCCATGGTAAATTAAAAAAATTGTATTTGAACTCAAAATTTTCATCTTGATCCCGGTTTTCAATTTTATTGTCGTCTGTATTTTCTCCCATAACAAATCTTCAAAAACAAGCATTACTTAATGACATGACACATACATCGAGTTGGTCGTGTTAAAATAAGTACCTAGGTAGGTGATAGGTAGGCAGGTAGGTAGTTCATCCTTTTCTTTGCGTCACCTATAGTGTGAATCAATTGTATCGGGATTCGTTCGAAGCATTCGTAGTTTGAACCACTATATAGATGAAGAAGTTTTATTAATGAAACCCTACAAACCTAAATTACATAAGCAATAAATAAATAAGAGAACCTATTATAGATATTGCTCACGAACGCTAACTACGCTAACTGGTCGTACGCTAACGTAAGTTGAATGTCATCAGCTGTGATGGAGATGGTTTTGCGAATCGTTTTTTGTTAAAAAGCTAGGTACTGGATTAGAATTTATGTGAATAAAACTTAGAAGATGATTGTATTTAGAGTAAAAATTGGTTTTCAGTAGAACAAGAAGCTGAACAAATTTTCTCAAATTAAGATTATGTTTTCGCACGAGCAGTGGCTATGACGGGTAGAAATCGTATTACCCCTATACTTATTATACTCTTTGCGTATTATTATTATATATTTTCATGAATATTTATAGAAGTAAAAAACTTACAAAAAAACGATTTTATATCAAAAATAAGGATTGTTTTCATTGCATATTTGGTTGGTACTACGACCTGTGGCATCCTCATTCATTTTCATTAATAAATAGACTAACTGTAACTACCTTCTCAAGGTATCATGGTTATGGAATGGACCTTGAAATGAACATGAAGTTAAATGGCCAAAACCGCGTAGAATCTAATTTTGCTCAGATTCAAACTAAGAACGTTTTAAAAAGTTTAAATGTCAACTTCACGATTCTGACATTATATCCGTCACCTTCATCTGTCAAATAGTTGCGTTTGCATTTCAGTTCTAGTTTATGTAATATCTGTAGCATATCTTTTCTGATATCCTTGTTTTATAAACGGAATTTTGAACAATTTGTTTCAAATACCAAAATCAGAATGTTTTTTATGTAGACTATTGTAGACAATAAACATTGACATCATTGTCAACGTCAACGTTGGTTTGGTAAACGCTGTTGAATAAATGTTTCGAAAACAAATTATGTACTAATTCTTTTTAGTTTTGTGTTAATAGTTAGATTTTAATCGAACAATATGCCTACGGTGATATTAATGGACGTTTCGCTATCAATGTCGCGGCCTGTCCCGACTTCTGACACAACAGAGACACATACCCGGCACACGATAGCTACTGCTGCCGTGAACACATTTTTGGACTATTTAACTATCCACGCTAAATTAGAATATGTGGCCCTAGTCTCATTCTCATCCGTTTACGAAGGTAAAGTCGTCTATATTCAATTGTCAATCTATTTCCTTACACAGACTTATGAATGTGTACTTAATGTTAGTTTTCTATTTCAGTGGCTGTTCCTTTTACTCGAGACTTTGACAGCATACGCAGCAAGTTATTGTCATTAGAGGAAGGAGACAAAACCTGCATAGACACTGCTTTGCTTGGTGTAAACCAGCTGGTACTCAATGAGTGGGGAGGATGTCAAACGCCTGTGCAAATAATATTGGTAAGACTGTATTTAAGGTATTGTATTTTTATGACTGTATTGTATTTTTTCTGTAATTTCTTGATACTGTATAATTACTCGCTTGGTGTACAATAAAGCATATTATTGTTATTGTATTGTTAAGGCATATATTGATCTATTCTCATTCTGATTCACACTCAACCTTTAATACAATGTGCAACTCATTTAGAAATATGATTTAAAAAGTTGAATTAATCCATATTTTTTGTACCTAATATTCCAGATAACAGATGGAAGCAGTGGTGTGGGTGCTATTGGCAGGAACCGGATGGTGCAAGCTCTGCCCTTGCCTCCCTCTTATCCAGCAAAAATACACATATTGCCTATTGTGTCCCCTCATGACCCTTGTCTACAACATGGTAAGTGCATTTTGGATACCATCAAAGCTAATAAAAATCTGTTCAAGATAAATCCTCCGCTAACACTGGTGCCCCCAAAGCACTTAACATTAAAGTAAAAGTTATGTGTTTAAATAGTAAAAACATAAATCTCAATTTCATAAAAAAGTAACATGGATAATAATTCGAGGGGTAACGGACTATTTGGTTTAAGCGACATTTTGGGCGATATTAGGTTATTATGTATATTCGATGGAGAAAAATTCGCTGATTCCGAATAAATATATCACTCAATATCGCCCAAAATGTCGCTTAAACCAAATAGTCCGTTACCCCTCAATATAAACTATTCATGTTTAGGTCATTTGAATGGCCTAAGTAACAAAGTCAAGTAATTTTAGTCTCACACAATCTCAGGTTTTAGTTCACTAATATGAACATAAACTTGTGTTTCAGCAATGCCACTTTACCAGAAAATAGTGGACCTAGCAAATAACACAACCAGTAACTCTAATGGCAATATGTCTCGTGGAACTATCTACTGCCCTGATCAGCTTTCTGTGCCTGGGGTAAGTACATATTGTATGACTAAAATATAATTAAATAATCACAAATTAAATTACAAACAACAGCACCTGAAATGTTAATAATTTATTTTAACTTAGGATATTAATTGATTTTTACTTACAAAAGTTAAGCGAATAAATCTTAGCAAGCATGACCACCTTTCATAACTTACTAAGATATTACTATCTCTCTCTATCTATATTCTGTCTCATACTGTATATTCTAGCTAGATATTATATGTAAAGCTATATTATTTAATATTTATTCTCCGTACCTTAGTTTTCGCAGATTTTCTACTTACAGGTTAAGGTAGAGAATGCCATATGACATTATGTTCGCCTTATGTGCCATAACAAAATTGTGTACATAAAAGAATAAATAAATAAATAAAATAAATATATTTCATTTCAAAAAAGGAGTAGTACATTAGAAAGGGTTTTGCCCACAAAATCCACAATTACAAAAATTCCACATTTAGTCACACAAAAGTAGTCTCCAAACATCAGGAATAAGATCTATAATGGAGTAAGTGGAGAGTGGTCACCGGTGAGAGCTCAAAGATTTAGAAGGGTATTAGGTTTCCTGCATGCTACATAGAAAACTAACATAACAATATGGCATAAAATAGATATACACAGAATTTTAAGTAAATTATGAATTATACACAGGTAATAACAGCTATGACAAGGCTCTGTGAACAGCACTATCAGGAATTCTGGTGCACTCTGAAGTGTGGCCAGCTAGAGGCGCGCGTGCAGTTGTTCCCCGCGCCACAAACTATTACACTTGAAGAGCTAGCTGCTACCTACACGCTCGCCAATCAAATACACGTCATTGGTTTTATACAACAACAGGAACTTAGTAAGTTGTCAGATTTAAATATACAATTTTTTTTCTTTAAATTCAAAGTTTGCAACTACCAAGCAAAGAAACAAATTAAGAGAATACTTAAAACAACTTTTATAACATAGCACTGCCCTACTTAACTATAAAAGTATATGTATATATCTATTTAAACATGTATTTTTATAACAATGAATCCCTTTTCCCTTGGTTGATTTTACTATTTTTTTTGTTGTTGTATTTTTTATAATCAGGAAAAGGTCTTATGACTAAAAAACCTACGGAAACTGGAGAAAACGGGATTGCGCGTAAGAAGTCGGGGGCAGAAGCTAGTGTTTTATAATATTTCTATCTTGTTACAGGTACCCCAATAGCATTAAGTAAGCACTTAGTAATACCGCAAGCTCAACCAGGAACCACTCCAGCGCCGAGAGAAAATTACGGCTCCAAAACTCCTACTAAGGTATTTCACACCTCTTACCATTTTAATTGTTTCTTATCCTCTTTGTTTGTCACGGAGAACCTAACGGGTTACCGGGTCTCCGGCTCGACGGGTAGGAGAAGGAACGGGGTGGTTTTTAGTCAGTAAGAGTCTGACACTCCCTCCCGCCTCACCCAGGCGGAAGCAGTCATTCGATGATTTTCCCACCTTAAAAAAAATCCTCTTTGTTTGATTTATTTTGTGAATTTAATTTTAAAAATCTAATAATTTATATTTGCGTTACGTATAGGAGGTGTCCAGTACGGATGGTTCCGCGGCAGAGGAAGACATGTCAGATCCTAGCAAAGTTCCTAATTTTTGTGTCCTGCTACATGGAGCTCTCAAGGTACCATTTTGAGGAGTCTTAGAATATTATTGCAGAATGAGAAAATGGTTTGGGTAATATTTATAATCACGTATTTTGGTTTATACATACTTAGTTAACATGTAATTTAAACTGCTGACAAAACTGAAATATGCAAAGTTTTAAGTTTACAATTTTATACTGGAAAAAGTCATAACTCCCACAATACATAATTTTTCAAAATAAAGGCTAAATCGTTTTTATCGAATTTATATTTTACACTGCAGGTTATAAATTACATGCAATGGCATAAAGATATTTATTTACTTATCATTCTACATTATCTAGGTAGAAGGCATGGCCGCAGTAGTATTGCTTGGCGCAGACTGGTGGGGAACTCTAACAGCTTCGTGTGAAGCGTCACGTGGACGTCGTTCGTGTTTGTTGCTCAGCGTCATGAGGCCGGGAGCTTCTGCCGCTCCTTGGCTCGGCGCCCTCGATCAACTTGGACCTGCTGAAGAAGGCACTACTTCCAGTAAGGATTCCTTTTGTATATACCCCTCACTAAATTATTTTTCTGTTTGGCGATACACCTTACACCTAGACCCGGAACAACTATTTGTAGATCACACACAGAGTTGTTCCAGCAGCTTGGTAACGTATAATGAGAGTGAAAAAAATCAAGTGCACAAGTGTTCCATACCCATTGTTTTATTTTATTTTCATGGATTTAGACAAGCTTTTATATCTCTTTTACATTATTTTTGTTGCAGCGGATACATTCCCTATAAGATCGTGGCGTTCGTACAGTAGTGGAGGATCTGCATGCGCGTGGGCACGTCCACACGCACTACTCGCTGACGTACAGAAAGTCCTTCGACATGCAAGGAAACTACCTGACAAGACACAACACCTCTTCAAGGTATCTTTAAAAAAAAAGAAAAGAAATATGTATAATATGAAAAAGAAATGTAATGAAAACTTTTTCATTTAACTTGGAAATTAATAAAATACATCACTTTTATTACAGGAATTGAACAGACTCCGTCGAGCAGCCATTTCCCTAGGCTTCTCAGAGCTACTAACAGCGATCGGAAACGCGTTAGAGCGTGAATGCACGGCTTTACCGCCTACAGCGCCCTCTGAGTGCGCGCTACAACTTGCTCATGCAGCAAACGCCCTACGTGACCCGAGGACGGCCTTAGACATAAAACACACGCTGACTCCATTAGGCCATGCCACTCCAATGACACATTAGTTTTACTGTATTTCTATGAAGCAATCTATGAAGAGTTTGAGATTGTTTCCAACATTGAACCAAAATGCGATTGTACTGCCTAAATCCAGCACGGTATTTAAAAAGAAATATGTTAAATTCATTGTGATTGATTTGGACCACAGAATTTCTGTCCTGACATTAATAGAGATAATTTAACCGAATTGCCTGTTAAGGCTACTGTCTGTATAATAATATCTCTACCCGAATAGTTGAAGTAGGTTTATTTAGTGTAACTTTAATGTAATTAATGAATAAAAAATATCCATTTTAAAATAAATGTAATAATGTTGTTTTAATTTACAAAACTACTGATAAATACACTCAAGTATTTCAAGCCTTCTCTGAATATTTTGGTTCTTGAAGAAGAAACTGTTAACCACCATATGGGTCAAACTAGAACACAACAAACGCCATGAGCTCGCCAGCCGTACTTCGACCCATAGGCAACACTTTTTTAAGGCCTGGTGGTAAGCGATCAGCGCCGCCCGTTGACACTCGCAACACACACACACACGCACAGCTGCGTTGTCGGCCTTTTAAAAAGGAATACCCTCTTTTCTTGAAGGTTTGAAGGTCGTAACGGTTCCGAAATATCGCCCACGGCCACGTCTCGGAAGCTTTCTTCCGTGACTCTTTACTCGGGGTCGGGAATGTAGTAAATATCCATTTTACTCGAGTATTTATCCTTTTGAAGAACTATCGTCCTATTTCTCTTTTGAGCCACATCTATAAGCTGTTTTCCAGGGTCATCACGAATCGTCTCGCACGAAGGCTTGATGAGTTTCAGCCCCCCGAGCAGGCCGGGTTCCGAGGAGGATATGGCACCATAGACCACATTTACACGATGAGGCAGATTATACAGAAGACCGAGGAGTATAATCGGCCTCTATGCTTGGCGTTCGTGGACTATGAGAAGGCCTTTGACTCTATCGAGATCTGGTCTGTTCTGGAGTCCTTACAACGGTGCCAAGTCGACTGGCGATATATCCAAGTGCTGAGAGAACTGTACGAAGCTGCGACTATGGCCGTCCAAGTACAAAATCAGCAGTCTGAACCTATTCACCTGCATCGAGGAGTGAGACAAGGGGATGTTATATCCCCCAAATTGTTCACAAATGCTATGGAGGATATGTTCAAGACACTGCATTGGAAAGGACGGGGCATAAACATAAACGGCAAGTATCTCTCACACTTGAGATTTGCAGATGATATCGTCATCGTGGCTGAAACCGTTCAGGACTTGCAATATATGCTGTGCAGCCTGGCTGATGCTTCCGCGCGCATTGGGCTCCGGATGAATTTGGACAAAACAAAAATAATGTTCAATGAACATGTCATTCCGGAGCCAATTGTTCTCAACGGGTCGCCTCTCGAAGTCGTTCAGGAATACATCTACCTAGGACAAACCCTGCAGTTTGGTAGGAACAGCTTCGAAAAGGAGGCCCGTAGAAGGATACAGCTTGGCTGGGCAGCATATAGAAAACTTAATCAAGTCTTCTCGTCTCAGATACCGCAAAGCCTGAAGACAAAAGTCTTCAACGAGTGCGTCCTTCCAGTAATGACATACGGAGCCGAGACGTGGACACTGACAGTTCGACTGGTCCACCAATTTAAGGTCGCGCAGCGAGCTATGGAGAGGGCTATGCTCGGAGTCTCTTTGAAGGATCGAATCCGAAACGAAGTGATCCGACAGAGAACCAAAGTTATCGACATAGCCCAAAGGATCAGTAAGCTGAAGTGGCATTGGGCCGGTCACATTTGTCGAAGAACCGATAACCGTTGGGGTAAACGTGTTCTAGAGTGGAGACCGCGTCTGGGCAAACGCAGTGTAGGGCGCCCTCCAGCTAGGTGGAGGGACGACATCTGCAAGGTGGCTGGCAGTGGTTGGATGAGAAGAGCTGAAGACCGAGCTCAGTGGCGTGCTATAGGAGAGGCCTATGTCCAGCAGTGGACGAATACAGGCTGATGATGATGATGATATCTCCAGTTTTTTAGGTAAATATCGATTAGAAACATATAGTTTTTTATTTCTTTTAAAAACGTTGCCGCACTTTAGGATTTTATCCTGTGTCGTGGGTGCGTTTAAAAACAGACAAGTTCACACATACATGACACTCAAATTCGGAACAACAATCTGTGATTCACTCAAAGACTTGTTTCCATGCGGGAATCGAACCCGCGACACGTTGCGCGGAAGTCAGTTGCCCAACCACCGCGCCAACCAGTCAAAATACTCAGTATCCAACATGGCCGTTGAAATTTACAACGTCTTTATTATCCAGTTTAGGTATCCTTTTGTCGATTTATCCGAAAAACGTTAGATTTTGGTGCAAGTACCAAAGAAACTAGAATATTTATCATCCCACTGGATTGTGAATGGGATTTAATGGATTTATGTTATTTTGTCATTGACACCTTGAACGCCATGGGGGACATGGTATGGGCCACGATAGCGGAGGATTTACCCTCAACAGTTTTTTGTCGGCAGTCAAAGGCTTAATAATTCTATGTGTCTATGGTTTTTAAAATAAAACATTGTAAATGTCAATGTCAGTAAATCTGCGTATAAAGAAATTAAATATGAAAATGTCATAATAAATTAAATTTCGGATACCTAATATATATAAAAATCTAAAATTACAGTGTGTAAATTCAATAAAATGCATCATCATGAATTAAAACAACTAACACTTTCTGGTATCGATCAATAAAACGTGACGCAACTGATTTACAGTGCTGCAGAGCCAAGAAAATGCCGGTTAAATTAATTGCTATCGTCTCACTGTCGTGTTTGCCGTTTTTGTTTACGTTAGACGGAGATTTTGTTTTTGATGACTCTGAAGCAATTGTAAAAAATGAAGATGTTACTTCGGATTCGTGGACTGAACTATTCACACACGATTTTTGGGGTGCAAAAATTAAATCAAACTTTAGTCACAAATCTTACCGGCCCCTTACTGTATTGTCGTTCAAGTTAGTAAATTGATATATTATTTATTGTATTCACGCCTTTGAAACATTGGAGTAAGTCCTACTTAAGTTTTTTACTCATTTCTTTGATTTCAGGCTCAATTACTTTCTGAATAATAGAACTTTATCAGCATTCCAATTTAAAGTGACAAACTTAGTATGTCACGTCATATGTTGTTTGTTGGTGTGGAAAGTGTTTCAGACTCTTACAAGTCGTAAGGTCCTCTCTGTCGTTATAAGTGAAAGTGAAAGACTAAGCAGGGATTTAGATAGCAATAAGTACTGGTGGAGGAACACACCATTTCTGGCGACACTATTGTTCAGTGTGCACCCTGTCCATGTGGAGGCTGTGTGTGGTGCAGTTGGCAGAGCTGATATCTTGGCTGCTATAACATTTTTCCTCGCCATACTTTGCTATAGCCAGGCACAAGCTAAAGACTCCCGTGCATATTGCTTTTTGCTATCTACAATATTTTTAGCTGGTATGTCTATGTTATTTAAGGAGAATGGTATTACAGTTTTGGTGAGTTGAAACATTTATATAAAACATCCAGTAAGTTAGAATACTATTGTGAATAGTAATTACTTTTTATTTTCAGGGATTTTGCATAGTTTATGAGGTAGTAACAAAATTGAAGATAAATAGAATAGAAAGTAGGACTGCTAGGATCCTGAGCCTGGACAACATAACTGTGGACTCCATGTTCAGAGTGAGCGCCATGCTCACCAGTATACTGACCCTGATGTATGCAAGGTGGGCAGTGATGGGGAACACAAGGCCGGAGTTCAAATCCACTGACAACCCAGCAGCATTTGCCTCTGATCCATTTGTTAAAGTAAGCCGTTTTATACTTATTAAATATGATAAAAAAAGTTGCCTTATTGATGATTAAAATAAGTAATGTTTGTAGCTCTGCCCTGTTATCAAAAATTGTTATGTATTTTTTAGAAACCTTTTTATGTGGGTTTACTGAATACAAGAACAAATCTTTAAAATGTTTCCCTTTGAAATTAATTTTCACAAAGGGTCTCACAGTGAAAAATTTTTAGAAAGAAATTTTAATACACCCATTTTCAACCACCTAGAGCTGGGTTTTGGATGACTAACATTACCTAAACTTAGTCAAATTTTACTTTTTACTTCCATTTTTTACTGCTATCTACTCTGCATTGTTTCATGCACAGCTCAGCTCCTATTTGTCATAGCGTAGACTACCTTGTTCGACCAAACAAACTCTTAAGCTTCATAACATTATTTTATTATTACAGGTAGCCACACACAACTATATATACTTTTTGAATCTGCTATTGTTTGTATGGCCTCAGTGGCTGTGCTATGATTGGTCGATGGGATGCATTCGATTGGTTGAGAATATGAGAGACACTAGAATGGTGTTGGTGTACTCTATGTATATATTTGGCATGTACATACTGGAGACTATGTACAGCGGGAGAAACATGAAGATAACCAACAGGTAATAGCAGGCTCGTGCTCACTGCTGGCTCGGTACACCATGGCGGAGGATCCTATTATTCATAAAGTTATTTTGAATGTTATTTCAATGAGTTTAGAGTTCATGTTACTTTACTTTGATACCACGATGCCATGCCTTGACGTAGCATGTTAATTTGCGTGTATTTAGTCAGTTTAGCTTAAGACACAGCCATTTTTTAGCATTATACAATAGATTGCAATAGTAAAAAATTAAAAATTGTTTCAGGATAATGTTCTTTGCAGTTTCTCTGGTAGTGTTGCCATTCTTGCCAGCCGCTAACATTCTATACCCGGTAGGCTTCGTGATTGCCGAGAGGATTTTGTACATACCATCGGCTGGATATTGTCTCCTAATAGCTATTGGATTCAACAAACTCTTGGATAGGAGGTCGACGAAATTCCGTAAGGTATATTATATTGCTTTATAACTTAGGAATAATACCAAAAGAGATGCACCATACTTATATATGTATATAAGGTGCGTCTTTGAACCTTAAAACACAGATGCAATCACGTCAGTTTTTGCAAAAATTGTCTTTATTTTAATACCAAAAAGTTTAGTTTGAATTAAATATATATATAAATAATTTTCTTATTAATATTGTTCTTGAATTTGCTCGTTATTTCACCAGTTTGCTCTGTTGACGTTCATGTCAGTGGTGATGCTATACGGTGTGTGGAGCTGGCGTAGATCTTACGACTGGCAAAATGAATACAGTCTCTTCATTAGCGGGATGGCGGTCTGTCCGTTAAATGCTAAAGTTCATTACAATATTGCGAAGATAGCTGATGCGAATAAACAATA